AGAAGATTTGACAGCAAGGTAAAGCCTAGAGAATTTCGCGAAGGCGACCTCATTTGGAGAGCCACAGGCGAGGCAAGGAAAGATCCGAGTTAGTGGGTCAAGTCTCAACCGTGAAATTAAAGATCCAGATTCAACGCCCAGATCCACACCTTCGGCATTCTGTAATGCAGTAGCTCGGGAATCAGATGGATCTGATGAAGAGGAATATTTTTCATTAGTAAATCTGGATTTACCAGAAGATTTGACAGCAAGGTAAAGCCTAGAGAATTTCGCGAAGGCGACCTCATTTGGAGAGCCACAGGCGAGGCAAGGAAAGATCCGAGACATGGGAAACTCGCCCCAAACTGGGATGGTCCCTTCCGAATCCGACACAACCTGAACAACGGAGCGTACAAGCTGGAGAACCAATTCCGAGAACCTGGAATTCTTCTCATTTGAAAATGTATTACAGCTGATGTAACAGTGCACTCTTTTCCTTAGCCGACTCTTTTTTCCCTAAGGAGGGTTTTGGGTCGGCAAGGTTTTTAACGAGGCACTTCATTGATAAAAGTTCCAAAATCTCATTATATCGTTTGCAATTTTATTGTATGCCCAGGTCGAGCACTACCCATGGAAGCAATGACACCGACCAACATTTGGTCGACGACGAAAAACACACTCGTGCCCCAGGCCGAGCACTACGCACAACGCGTACTAAACCCGAGCAATCCTCAGTCAAGTTTGAAATGTGCACTCGCGCCCCAGGTTTCCCTCCCGAGTACCCTCCTCGGCTAAGGATGTGCCTGGGCCGAGCACTATGCCGACGATGACGACACCGACCAATGTTCGATCAACGACGAAAAACACACTCGTGCCCCAGGCCGAGCACTACGCACAACGCGTACTAAACCCGAGCAATCCTCGGTCAAGTTTGAAATGTGCACTCGCGCCCCAGGTTTCCCTCCCGAGTACCCTCCTCGGCTAAGGATGTGCCTGGGCCGAGCACTATGCCGACGATGACGACACCGACCAATGTTCGATCAACGACGAAAAACACACTCGTGCCCCAGGCCGAGCACTACGCACAACGCGTACTAAACCCGAGCAATCCTCGGTCAAGTTTGAAATGTGCACTCGCGCCCCAGGTTTCCCTCCCGAGTACCCTCCTCGGCTAAGGATGTGCCTGGGCCGAGCACTATGCCGACGATGACGACACCGACCAATGTTCGATCAACGACGAAAAACACACTCGTGCCCCAGGCCGAGCACTACGCACAACGCGTACTAAACCCGAGCAATCCTCGGTCAAGTTTGAAATGTGCACTCGCGCCCCAGGTTTCCCTCCCGAGTACCCTCCTCGGCTAAGGATGTGCCTGGGCCGAGCACTATGCCGACGATGACGACACCGACCAATGTTCGATCAACGACGAAAAACACACTCGTGCCCCAGGCCGAGCACTACGCACAACGCGTACTAAACCCGAGCAATCCTCGGTCAAGTTTGAAATGTGCACTCGCGCCCCAGGTTTCCCTCCCGAGTACCCTCCTCGGCTAAGGATGTGCCTGGGCCGAGCACTATGCCGACGATGACGACACCGACCAATGTTCGATCAACGACGAAAAACACACTCGTGCCCCAGGCCGAGCACTACGCACAACGCGTACTAAACCCGAGCAATCCTCGGTCAAGTTTGAAATGTGCACTCGCGCCCCAGGTTTCCCTCCCGAGTACCCTCCTCGGCTAAGGATGTGCCTGGGCCGAGCACTATGCCGACGATGACGACACCGACCAATGTTCGATCAACGACGAAAAACACACTCGTGCCCCAGGCCGAGCACTACGCACAACGCGTACTAAACCCGAGCAATCCTCGGTCAAGTTTGAAATGTGCACTCGCGCCCCAGGTTTCCCTCCCGAGTACCCTCCTCGGCTAAGGATGTGCCTGGGCCGAGCACTATGCCGACGATGACGACACCGACCAATGTTCGATCAACGACGAAAAACACACTCGTGCCCCAGGCCGAGCACTACGCACAACGCGTACTAAACCCGAGCAATCCTCGGTCAAGTTTGAAATGTGCACTCGCGCCCCAGGTTTCCCTCCCGAGTACCCTCCTCGGCTAAGGATGTGCCTGGGCCGAGCACTATGCCGACGATGACGACACCGACCAATGTTCGATCAACGA